TATGGCAACCCTAAGTGAAAGTGCACCAAAATTCTGCAAATTCACAGATAAATAAAAGGTACTTTGCCTCATTAGGTCCAATAGTCTTGAATTTCTGTCTTCCAAAGGATTTCCTCTCTCAATAGGCTTTCCTCATTTGCATCAATTACAGCTTTTCTAAGCACCAAGTAAATCTTAAGAATCAACTTTGCTTGGTCTTACTTCCAATTAGAAGTTACTAATTACAGGCTCTTCCTTGTAGGGTAATTCTTTCCTGATAACTGAAGCACTAATTAAGAGAGATTTTTGCCTCTTCATTTCCTACCCTTTGGAATGCATTTGACAGATGCTGCCAAAACAAGGTACAAAATATCACATAAACTGCCCCCAGATGTTAGCATCTAAACTTTGTCAATTTGATTTTGTTTTGCATTTGATTGTATATGTGTTTGGGGGACAGCAGAAACATAGCGGCCCCACTAAGAAAGAGATAAGTGATTCTGTGCTACTGATGTGACATTATGAATGAGTGAAATTAATTTGGGCTCTTTCTGTGCGGTTCATAAATATCAATATATAAACCATGAGAAATTACTAAAAAAAAACCACCTTTCTAAACAAGAGTTAAGCTACCAAATGGACCTTAAATAATTATAAGGAGGGTAACAGAGAGGAAATTAAGAAGATACACTATTTCATGAAACTCATTCTTAAATTTCCTGTGTGATGCCAGTCCTGGAGACTCATATGCTCACCATATGAAGATTAGCACGTCACAGACTTAGATTTTAATGAACTAGTGTTAAACACAAAAAAAGGTTCATTTTTAGCAGTGATATTTAAAATAGAACTGCCCCTGAAGCTATGTGCTCTCATGGTTGAGAGCCCACCTCCTACATCAATAGCTCTCAATACCACACACAGAGTTACTCATAATCTATTTTCACAGTGGATTTTAACCTCACGCGGAATTGCCTTAGTTACACACAAAGTTGCTACAAATCTGGGTAAGAAAGAATAACCATATGCAGCCTCTTCAGCAGTTGGGTAACTTTCCTCTCAATAGATATTCCTTTAGTATTTAGAACTAGAAGTCAGATATCAAAAATGGTAACACACATAAACCTGCAGGGGAACTTTTGAACCTGACTGGGCACTCATTAACGGATTTAAAAGTAGACATTTTTCTACAAAGGAATTTCACAAGCCAACTACAGAGCGAGAGAGAGAGAGAGAGAGAGAGAGTGCAGAATTGACCTTCATATGCAAATTTGACACAGTTTCCCTCGGGCTTAACAAAGACATTAACTATAAAGCCAGTCTTCCTTACATTTATCACACCATCGATATCAAAAGCTAAGTATGGGACACTTCCAGCCCACTCAGCCTCATTAGCACCTACACTACTATTGACAGGTAATTTTTTTCCCTCTTTCCTCTCCCTTCTTTTTCTGTTATAATCCTGATAGTCCACCTTTTTTCTCCACTCTAGCTCATCTGAAGAAGTGAGTTTTGCCCATCAAAGCTCATGATACTATATATTTGTTAGTTTATAAGGTGCCAAAGGACTGCTCGTTTTTAAAGTTACAGACGAACGCAGCTATCCCTCTGATACTTTTAGAACTGGAAGATTTATCTAGCGTTGCTTGGGTCTGTCAAGGCTAGGGTGTAGGAGTCAGGGTTCGGTGTGAGGAGGCACTCACATAAGAGGGTGAGGGGTGCAGGAGTCAGGGCAAGGGGTGGGGGCAGCTGCTGTCTGCTCCCCGGGACAGCTCTTGACTTGCTTGCTGCCTCCCTGTGGTCATTCAGGGGTATACCTGTCCCCTGTGCTTGCTGAGCCCCCACTCCCCATGGTGACTCTGGAGTATGACTGTCCATGCTCTCACAGCCCTCCCTTTCCATTTGATGAGAAACAAATCGCATTCCACACACATTCCATTGGCCTGGCACAATCAAACTGTGACCTTGCTTTAAAGTTCCGATACGAGGAAGCTGCCTACTGAATTTGGCTTCTACCATTCAGCAATTCTTGAACAAACAGACTCACAGATGGACAGACTGACCAACACGCACAAACTCTCTCAACTGTATAGTAGATGAGCCAGACAGTGAAGCACAATATACGTCAACATGTTATGACCAATCCAGTGATTGGTGTTTTTGTTCCTTTCCAAAATAAGCAAAATGTCTACTTTCTTGTGTTATCTTCGTGCCTGCAACAGTCTTGCTCTGGGCTTCATTTTCTTATTTATAACGTGGATAATGCATAATTACATACTCCACAGGATTTGTGTTAGGGTGCTTGCATGGTATTCTGATTACAGACAGCTGTACTGATCCTAAGAATCAGTATTATTTCTAGTATGAACATAGCCCTATAACTATATGCATAGTCTCATCATACAGTAATATAGCATAATGTTTTGTCAAGTGACAAAGTCAATGAAAAGCTGGTTCAGCACCGTATGTTGGCATAATTGTAGCATTGTAGTCAACTAATTACCTAACAATTATTTCATTTCTGATACTCAGGCTTGCATAGTAATCTTACTTACAGGAAAAATGCAAATATCATTCATAAATCTTCTTAATAGATCCAGCTGTAAGACCTCATCTCTGGGTAGTAACTTCAGACACTCTCATAAGCTATCACGTTTGCTGTTTCCATGTCAAGCACATACTTCCTCAGCACAAGTTTGATACTCTTATCCACTTCACAGAGCTATTTAGCTGCTGGATAGTTTATCTGCTCCTGTTGTGCTTTTCAGTTTTTCACGTCCATTCAAAGACTATTTTGGTCCACTTGTTATCTATGCTGCTGGTGATACACTCTGCCCACTGCCATCTGTTTCTTTCTCTGTTTTTTTTTTTAAATACACAATTATTCGCTATGCTTTCCCTTCATTGGTTTGCTCACTGCCACGTTCATAAAAATACACTTTTCACCGTGTTCTCTACACCTCCCAAACTTCCACAAATTGCGAGGGATTTTGTGGTGACTGATAAAGCATGTCTCTAGTCAGATCTAGTGCAGAGCGATCAGTCATTAAAATCTTCCTAACTGTACATCTCCCCCCTTCAGTCATGATCTTGATCACCATATTTTTCCTGCTCCCCTCCCACTCTGTGTGCCCACATCTCTTAGGTACTGAATTAGGTGGCCTTTATAGTCCAGCAAAATTATCATGATAGCTATATAAAAATATGCAAACAATTTAAGTATGTCAAGCAATTAAAATACTAAACTGTTGAACAACAGAATACCATTTATTTAAATATTTTTGGATGTTTTCTACATTTTCAACTATTTTTATTTCAGTTACAACACAGAAAAAGTGTACAGTGCTCACTTTACACTTATTTTTATTACAACTATTTGCGCTGTAAAAAACATAGTATTTTTTCAGTTCACCTAATGCAAGTACTATATTAATGTTGAGCTTACAAATGTAGAATTATGTACAAAAACCTGCATTCAAAAATAAAACAATGCAAAACTTCAGAACCTACAAGTCCACTCAGTCCTACATCTTGTCCTCTCAAGCAAGTTTGCTTACATTTGAAGTAAATAATGCTGCCTACTCCTTGTTTTTAATGTCACCTGAAACTGAAAACAGGAGTTCCCGTGGCATCGCTGTAGCCACCATCGCAAGACAGTTACGTGCTAGATGTGCTAAAGATTTGTATGTCCCTTCATGTTTCAGTCACCATTCTGTGCAGTTAATGGGCTCCAAGGCAGTGCAGACAGAACTTTTGAAAGACAATTCCATTCTTTAACAATAATTCAGATGTTTAAAGTGCATTTCTCTTTCCAAACGGCAAATGCAAGAATGAGAAAAAGCTCCCTGCCTGCCCATCCAGGAAATTGTTTTCAAGAAGAAAATGTGAGATATGGGGCTTCACAAAGACAGCCTTACAGCTACTGTAACTCTACTCTGCTCTTTAGAAATCTACGACAGGTTTTACGACCCAGAAAAAAAATCTTTTTTAGAGCATGCAATTTATTATGCATGTAATTGTAGACGATTTAAAAAAAAAGAAACAGCCACAGCTGTGATTAAAACCCCTCTTTTATGTACACTGCATATTTACAAGTAGTCAGTATCCCATGTAGTTTTCTGCTTAGAGACCCACTTACAACTTATTCTTGAAGCTAGCTCTCTTCCAGGATCACAACTTTGCTTCGGGAAAACGGCAGAACTGTTCCTAACCCCAGCAGCAAGTGCCAGCCTACTCCTGGACTATACTCCTTCACTAGTTGCAGCTGGAAACAAGAATTGACTTTGTGATATTGCTGCTTTCATTATTCCCTACTGCTGGGAGGCCTGACTGAAGAGGAGAGAAAGGGCACAGGAAACTGGTCCAAATGTGGCCTTGGGTAAACGCGATTATCGTAAGTGCTCTTCTGTTTTTCAGTTTTCCTTAGTGCCTTCCATTTTTCGGCAAGTATGATAACACTGGCACAGTCCCTTGCTCATTCATTTCTTTGGGAAGCCACACCTTCAAATGGACAATATTTCTGATAGGGAGATCAGGTCTGGAGATTAGGTGTAGCTCAATACTCACTACAATACAAAGCCACAGAACTTCTAAGAAGCTTAAAGAAGGTAGATCATACCCAAGTCAGAGCTCAAACAAACAGCCAGGAGCCATGAAAAAATGTCTGTAAAGCATGTAGCACTATTGACATGAGCTCACAGATTCAGGGTTCTAAATCCCAGAGCTGCTTATAACTGCATTTGTAAGGTTTCTAAACCTCAGTGCTGTGCAGTATTCCCTCCCAGGACTCAACAGTAACCTCACTGATGTTCAGATAAATCCTAGCACTCTGAAGTCACTTTGTTGGCAGGCAATTATAAACAATGGTGACTCTCCGACGAGCTTCACTAACATTTAGCTGAACTGCTATCGATCTAAACCGACTACAGCAATGCTGGATGAGAAACACGTTCTTTAACACAGAGCAATAAATCAACTATACATTTAAATTAGTACATTGCTTTTCTAATTGTGTAACTTACCAAGCTTAGTGGCTCCCTCTGGTGGATATTCAGGAAACTGACCCTCAGATGGGACGCTTACGGTACGTCGCAGGCATCGCCCTTTGGTAGATTCTGTCTGTTGTTCCTGTACCCCCTCCACAGGCATCTACAGGAAATAAAAGATACCAAAATCTTTAATTTGTCATTATACATTTCCTTTTATACTCATCCTCAATGAGTATTTAATTTGTCACTGATCTGGTGGTAATATTCAGACAGGATGCAGCTGATCCAACCCTACCACAAAATTCAGGAGGTTATCATCCAGAAAAGGGGAAATAAGTTTATTATAAAAGAAGTGAGCTACCAGGAAATGCAACTATGCAAAGAGACTCGTGCTTAGCACACAGAGGTGCAGGTGTCTGTGCCAAAAAACCACCAAGCAACAAAAAAACAAACAAACAACCTATACAAGGTAAGTCTTGTACCTGGAAACTGGTTTTCCCATGGCTGAGGACCAAGCGCCATTGGTCTGAAGTGCTATTCATTTCCATATTGTTAAAGTCAGCCTGAAGTTACTAATCAGATTACAAGGCCTCTTAAACGCAAGGCCTTGAGACGCTACAAAAACATGAAGTGGCTGTACTACCAGCTAAGACACATCCTTGTTAAAATCAACAGTATTAGAGGACTGGAACCAAGATACTGGGGTGGATGAATCATTGTTCTGATCAGTATGGCATACAAGGGGACAGGGGAACTTTCAAATTAAGGATGCTACTGATGAAAAGGAGATGGAAAAGGCCTGTAATATTTTATGAATATTATATATACACATCTCTGTGATTGTTAGAGCATTTGATATGATTACTAATGGCTAATGCAGGCTAATTCAGATCTATTCATTGTTAAGGATTACACGAGTTAGCATGCATACAGACAAGAGTGTGCAGACACTTCTGAAAGCCACCCACTTAGCGATAATTAATAGACAACACAGAGAATCAACTATTTGGAAGTTTAAATCGCCCTACAACACAAATTGGTTTGGCCAAGTTCAACAGAGACAAGGAGATTCAGGACTGAAGAAAGTCCGCCCCTAAAGACAGAGAGAGAGAGACTGAGGAACAGCGGGGAAGCAGACGGGGGGAAGCAGGCCTGGCTCCAGAGGGGGGGGGGGGGGGGGGGAGAAGAGGTGAGAAGGAGGTGGTATTTCTGGATAAGCTTTAGATAAGATCAAGAAGAGATGTATGTGCAGATTGTTGTGTTCTAACTAAGGATGTTAAAAAGCGATTAATTAATTAGTTGACAGGCACTTCCGCATTCCTCCATTGAAATGTACAAAAGCCCCTGGGAGGAATGGGGAACTCCACGTACAGGGGCCAGTGGGAAGTCCCGCTGACTCTGGGCTGCACAAGGGTGCCTTCTTTGAAATGCACAAGAGTCCCTAGTGGGGGCTCTTGTGAATTTCAAAGCCACGGAGCCCTGGGCCAGCAGGGGATTCATAGCTGACCCTGGGCTTCACAGCTACCCCTTTGAATCACGCAGAGGAGGCATTTTAAAGGAGCAGCTCGCCACACAGCTGATCTGCGGATCAGCTATGTAGCGACCGCCTTGGGGTTTCAAAGTGGTAGAACCGCTATGCGGAGCTGCCACTTTGAAGTACCCCTCCCCCTTTGCTGCCTATCTCATATATTGACTAGTCAAATGAGTGTCCGATAAGCACATGCTTATTAGATAGTTGACTGGTCTTTAACATCCTTAGTTCCAACGAGGGATTTAAGGGTAAATCAGTATTCACCTTATCAGTATGCTTATAGGATAACTGGTTAAGCGGTGGCCCAGCCTGGCCAGAGGAGGCCCCTGCCCCCAGTGTGGCATGGTGGGCTCAACCTAGCATGGATAGAGCAGCTCCTACCCATGATGTGGTGTGGCGGACCCTGCCTGGCTCAGAGCAACCTCCTTCCCATGACACAAGTCTCTGCCTGGCCCAAACAACCTCCACCCATGGTGTAGTGGGTCCACCCAGCTGCAGCAGCCACCTGGTGTGGGATGCTGGTTAACTGCTTACATATATTTATCGGTTAACTTTTTTAAACTGGATTTTACATCCCTAGTTCTAACCCTTTGCTTTCGTGATGCTCTGTTCTGATTATTAAGACTGAATACTCACTTTGCAAAGATTGTTGTGTGTCACTATGGACACAATGGTTACAGTTCTTGAAGAGAAAACTGGCAGGACTCTAATGCAGTCAGGTATGCTGAGGACAGCTCTTGAAGAGAAAACTGGCAGGACTCTAATGCAGTCAGGTATGCTGAGGAAGTCAGTTCACACGGTGCTACACCACAGGGCCCATTCTAGAGTCAGGGAGGAATCCCATAATTTTCCCAGAAAGATAAAAGCAATAGGGCTTCACCTGCAGCGTTACACTTAGAGATGCTGAAAGTGCATTTAGCCCTGAACTATGGCAACTGGTTCCCCTTATTGGACTACCTCCTACGATATGGAGACGGCTAGTAATATTTGCATTTTCACTTGCTTATATATTTCTAATATAATGCACTATTTTCAGTTATTTCCTCAAGTTTCACTGACTAAACTGAAATCTTCCATATCTAGTTTCTTTGGAAGTTTGAGAAAACTTTTGAGCTGTTATATACAAAAGGAGAGTGAACAACATTACACTTTTACCTCAACAAGTTCTGGCAACCTCTTTCAGCAGCTCTGCAGGTGAAATGACTGTAGCTAGAAAACTGAGGTTTTAGCAGGGCAACAGCCTTTGTCAGTGGTTATTAAGTGCTGTAATGAAAACTGGTGGAGGTTTGACAATTAGAAAACACTGGAAAAAATTGCAGACTTCAGACATGGACAGCAATTTTTAAAAATTTTTTTGAAACAATAACTCCGAAGGAGACCAAGCCTCACAGGGAAGTGCACTAACAGCGTACCAGCAACCTGTTTCCCCCACCTTTTCCAAATGATTTATTTTATAAATAGTCTATTAAAATTAATTATGAGACATTAATTCTGCACTGAAAAGTCAAGAAATGCAACTTATTCTCCCTTCTTGTGCATATGGTATTGAGATAGTCTTTAACTGCATGATCACATCATATTTCACATTACACACGGGATCATGCAATTTTTTTCCTACAGCCATAAAGAGTATCTTATAATTTGTGGAGTGAAGAACTCAGGTTCATTCACCATGCAACTGGTGAATGATAAAGGCATAAATGGCTTTTATTGTCCCTATCTGGCATAACACAGGGAAATAGTAATATCAAAAAATATTAGTCATTTATAGGAAAGGTATATAAAATATGCATGATACATTGTGCTATTTGAGAAATGCATGTGACCATTTAGTTCCAGACTGCACTTTAAGGACTCAATTTTAGCCCTGGCATTTCCTGACTTTTTAGTACTTAATCGTGTAATATTAATATTTATCTTAAGGTCTTTTTTAAAATGTAATTTGATACCATGCTTGTCTGTTGCCTCCTTCAAGCATTGCTCATTTTTTTTCAAAGTAAGTGACTCAGCTCTCTCGTGGACATCAGAAAGTGTTAGTAATGTAAATGGACACTAATATTTTTGGTTTGTGTCATATTCACTCAATCAAGATCAAATATTACATTTGCAATTTTCATTTGCAGACACCAGTTAGGCATTTTTTATACTTGAATGCTTTTTCCGTTCTTTCAACAACCTATCTCTGAATCATTTCAGATTGCTCTTGCTGAATGCTACATACAATAACTTCATAGTAGCCTGTGCCCTACTCCGCTTAACCTCAGATACACAGCCTACTGATTTGTGACAACTATCCTTTTAGCAGACATGCATCGCTATTTTGGTTCTAATTCTGTAGTCAATGCAATTCTTTTGCCTGTGAGCTTCCCTAAGACTAGACTGCTAATTAGCTCACAATGCTGACATAGCTCCTTCTCTCCACATACAGCTTCTCTGCACTTTTGTTTATTCTTCTCACATCAGACTCACTATTTTTATTTTTACACGACTAACCCTACGAGTGCTCAGATCCACCAGTTGAGGCTAGTATGCCTGCATCCATTCTGCCAGCTAAGCAAAGGCAGGCAGGCAGTTGGATAGTAGGCTTCTCATTTCTCAGAGGCTGACCTTCCAACAAGGTTTCTAATTTATATTCTTTATTAGGAGGAGATACAAGTTTCCGCAGCTATGCCTAAGCTCAATTTTCAGCTATGTTATCAGTCTGTGCCCTAGAGGGGGTTATGGCCAGCAGAAGGAGCTATAAGAAAAATAAAAAGGACAGAAAATTATCTCTGCAGAAATGCCTGAGCCAAAATTTACCTGGCTTATTGGTTCATGTTGGGTGCTGATACCAGACAGGTGTAATAATAAGTGTCTTACCCAGTAAATCTTGTGATTTTTGAGAGTTTATTCAATGCTTATACAATAGTTTATCAAATACTCTCTTATAATACTTTACCAGCTCTGCATCACATTGAATATATTATTCAGCAACCAGTGAAATCCATCAAATAGGACCATTTTGTCCCAGATATAAAACACCCAACAGTTGCCTAAAATGTGATGTTTTTTAACTAGAAACAAGGTTCCCAACTTAAGATTGGCACTGATCACTCCATGTATATTCCAAATCTTTAGCATGAAAGTCAGCATGTCCATCCCAAAAGACAGGAAATCTTTTCTGGAAGTATCAATTAAACTAAAGTTGAAGTACAATGTTTCCAGGAAAGGCAAACTCAGATGCTTAATAAGGAGTCTTAAGACTATAATTAGTTCTTCATATGGATACAATTTCTCTCTCTTTTGCTCTAGTTACAGAGAATTCTTAGCCAAGAGATTCTCTTGAGGCACTTAACATTGCTCCAGAGAATAACTGCCCCTTTTTTCCCCACTGTGTCAAGTGCTCTACTATCTGTATATTGACCAAGAGCCACAGATAAGTAGGAAGTCTAAGTGTAGCCCCATTAGGAATAGCTTGCTTGATGACCCAAAAAGCTGTACATTTCAGAGATCTAAGTTCCTGATACCCCAAGCAGCTAATATCTTTCACATGAAATTAGAAACTGTACATTTGTCTGTCCAATGAATCAGATCTATGCCTCTTAGTGAACAATGTCTTATTTCTCCAAAGAAATGTCTCATCTGATGAT